CTATGATATTGTCGCACCATTGGTACTGATGTTTAATAAATATTAACTCCCAGATGAGCAGAGTTCTACATACTCTTACATGGCAAAGGGATGCCAGGAACATTCAATCTCTCATGTGGTTTCGTGCTCAAACAACATGTAGTGTGAAAACACACTCTTTACTTTGAGATCACTCCTGATGAGGTGCAGGTAACACTGCTTGCTACAAAATCACACAAAAATGCAAAAAATTGATTTCTCAAAAATCCTACATCCCTTCAAGTGAAAATTCTGTTTTTTCAAGGACCCCTGGACAGGTCATCTACATACCGTACATTGTGAAGTTTTATCATGGAATCCCGAATAGGTCATCTACATATTGCACATTGTGAGGATTTAGGCAATAGTACATTCAGTTTTATCAAGGAACCCCCGAGAGGTCATCTACATATTCTACATTGTGTGGTTTGGGCAATGGTAAATTCAGTTTTATCAAGAACCCCCAATAGGTCATCTACATACTGTACATTGTGAGGTTTGGGGAATGGTAAATTCAGTTTTATCAAGAACCCCCAATAGGTCATCTACATATTGTACATTGTGAGAATTTAGGCAAATCTAAATTCAGTTTTATCATGGAAGCCCCAATAGGTCATCTACATACTGTACATTGTGAGGTTTGGGGAATGGTAAATTCAGTTTTATCACAGAACCCCCGACAGGTCATCTACACATTATACACTGTAAGGATTTTAACTATACTATTAAAAGCCTAACCTACTTCTATAGATTGCTACAACCAGCTTTCTGCATTACCAGCAATAGGCCGCACGGCTACATGAATAGGTTTTTGCTGTCACTAATTAATTTTTGTGTACAGCAAAAGGTTCAGCCTTTCTGCTTCTTGGGTTGGGGTATAGTGTACTGTATATTAACAATTCACTTATAATCCACTGGGCCCATACACCTAGAGCCAAAATGTTAGCAGAATATGGTCAGGACCAGATTAACAAAGGGCCTATTGGAGCGCCAGCTCCAGGCCCACCACTGAAAATGGTGGCACCAAACCAGCAGAAAATGGTGGCACCAAACCAGCAGAAAATGATGTGAAGGTCGGCACTCAATGAAGAGCTGAAAGATTATTATTTTTTACTAAATAAAAACATGGCCACAGCTAACAATTCAGGGACATGAGACACCCCAGGTGACATGCCACTTTAATAAAAAGGGACCTTCCCGCCTACGAAATGCTGGTTGTTGGCTATGACCATGGTTTGGTTTTGTATGTTGGGTGCTGACCTTTTTCATCATTCTGTTCTTGTGTGGTGGAAAGTGGAATGCACTAGAATATTAGCAGGGGCTATTGAGAGACTGCCAACAATGTTATCATCGCCGACACCTATATCAGCATTTCTCAACCTTTTTACCCCAGAAGAACACTTGAAATAATTTTCAGTTCTCAACCTTTGCCTAAAATCATATCTACAACTCATGCCTAAGCGTACTTACACTTTACTGTAAATATATTCCACACATACACATATTGGTGTATTAATGAACAGGGACCAGGCTTTATAAGAGTTTTTTTTGGCTTCCTCTGGATCATCTGTGGGTTTAATGTTCTGCAAATGAAAGTTTTTATTTATTTATTCATTTATCCATTGATTGAACTAAAAAAAAAAAACAACAACTGTTTTTTCCCCCATTGGAGCAAGTTGGACCACGCTTTATAGGGTTTTTCTTTTCTCTTCTGGATTATCTGAATATGCAGGTTTGATTAATTAATTTAGTTATTTATTTATTTACTTATTCATTTATTTTTTAAATAATGCAACCCAATGGTCATGTTTTTTGTGTGGATCTGTTTTTTCCCCTGTTGGGGCAAATTGGACCAGGCATTATAGAGGTTTATTTGACTGGATCAGCTGGGGTTATAGGGTTCAGTTTATGGAGATTTTCTATTTATTTATTTATTTTGGATTAAACTTGAGTCTTTTTTTTTCATCCTGACTAACCACGCAATGACAGTTTTCATATTTTTCTCCTGACAAGTCCTTCTTAAAAAAAAAATAATAATCTAGCACCGAAGGAAACAAGAAAAATCGATAAAACTAAACAAAAACACGTTCTGCAACTCCCCGGGTGAGTAATAACTGCTTGCTGAATACGGCTGAACCCCTGAAAACCTTTAATAAGTCGCAGTAGGGTGTTCTGAGGTCAGGCTCGCAGATTCCTCAGCTATAGAACATATCATTTTCGGAGAGCTGTGAAAATCTAATCTGAGAGCCAAGCCAATCAGAACGCAGGCACTTCACAGCAGGTTATATGGATAGCTGGAGATTTGGAACGCACAGGCGAGAATATTTTTAGCATTAGAAACATCACAAGGGTTTAGGTAGACCTTGTAGATTAGAGGAAAGTCTCTCTCCCCACTGCTGTTTGTTCTGCTGCGGCTGTCACATCTGCTTTATGCAACCTACTTTCCTTCTCCTGTCCTACTACAGTTCCCAGCATGCTTTGTCACATAAGGCGTTTTGGGTCAAGGGTGGATCATTTGATTTCGGCAGTAACATTGTGGCAAAGGTTTTCATTGTATGAGGGATTGTGCAAGTATTTTGCTTCAGGGTAAAATAAACCTGTACACAGGTTGTCATTGCTAACCTCTCCTACAAAATATGTTAGATCCTGGTCTGTCATGCTGATCCTTTGGCTTGAATTAGATTTATGAAGGGATTAAGTGCACAGAAAGTTATTATTATTTTTTTGTTTGTGGCTATTGAGGAATGTATGTATAATGTGTATAATGCACAGAGTTCAGGGGTCAGAAGTGCATAATGCAGGTAGTGCAGGGGTCAGGGGTGAGTAAGGCACAAAATGCAGGGATCAGAAGTGTATAATGCACAGAGTGAAGGGCTCAGGAGTGTGTGATGCACAGAGTTGAGAAGTGCGTAATGCTCAGAGTGCAGGAGTCACAAGTGTGTCATGCACAGAGTGCAGGGGCTAGGAGTGCATAATGTGCAGAGTGCAGGGGTCAGAAGTGCATATTGCACAGAGTGCAGGGGTCAGAAGTGCATATTGCACAGAGTGCAGGGGTCAGACGTGCATATTGCACAGAGTGCAGGGGTCAGAAGTGCATATTGCACAGAGTGCAGGGTTCAGATGTGCATATTGCACAGAGTGCAGGGGTCAGAAGTACATATTGCACAGAGTGAAGGGGTGAGAAGTGTGTAATGCAGAGAGTGCAGGGGTCAGGAGTGCATAATGCTCAAAGTACAGGGGTCAGAAGTGCATATTGCACAGAGTGCAAGGGTCAGAAGTGCATGACACATAAAGTGCAACAGGGGTCAGGAAGGCAGGGGTCATGGATATGTTTCACACAGAGTATATGGAAATATATATATGTATATACATATATACACATGTATACTGTTTGTAAAGGTATAGCATTCTGTGTGTGTGTATACAGTATGTACCGGTATACTGTTTTCTAGAAATCTTTTTTGTTGCGGACTCATCTGCGTTATACATTAGCCCCAGTATCACACCATCAATTCCATTCCCTGCAAACACTTGGAATAAAACCTGTGATTTTTACAGCAAATATTACTCCCAATTCCATCTTGATTAAATGTGCTATTGTTAAATAATTGTGCAATTCAGTGCTAAATGTACTTCATAAATCTGAACCCTATATACAGACAGGATCAATACAACACTGTGCCTAATGAATGTGCATATTCATATTCATAGAAACATCTGCAAATTTTTGAAGATGGATATTGTAGAGTTAAACTTAAAGGAGAACTCCAAAGAGATTGGATCTGCCACTTAAAGATAAAATCTTTCTTGCTTTTTTTTAAAGCCCAACTCTATATTAACAAGTCTAGTCTCCCTTTGCACTCCCCAGTCCAGTCTCTTTTTGCACTCCCTAGTCCAGTCTCTTTTTGCACTCCCCAGTCCAGTCTCTTTTTGCACTCCCCAGTCCAGTCTGTTTTTGCACTCCACAGTCCAGTCTCCTTTTGCACTCCACAGTCCAGTCTCCTTTTGCACTCCACAGTCCAGTCTCCTTTTGCACTCCACAGTCCAGTCTCCTTTTGCACTCCACAGTCCAGTCTCCTTTTGCACTCCACAGTCCAGTCTCCTTTTACACTCCCCAGTCCAGTCTCCTTTTGCACTCCCCAGTCCAGTCTCCTTTTGCACTCCCCAGTCCAGTCTCTTTTTGCACTCCCCAGTCCAGTCTCTTTCTATAGTCTGGCTTTCTTGGCTGTACTGTGGATAAGAAAATAATCCAAAACTGTGCCCAACCACACCTTCTGAAAGTAGAAGGAGGTTTATTCCCCCCTTTTTTGGAAGCTAACTAGGGTAACAACCACAACCGTCTGGATCAGAAAGGTCAACGCAATGATGGAAGCTGCACACTGGATAGCAACCTACAGGGATCAATATGATAGGTTTTATGGCATTTGGGCCACCTGGCTTGATCACCACTCCTTCCTGTAGACCCTCCAGGATCTTTGGGACCTTCTCCCTTGGGGTCCATAGGAAATACAGGTGTTAACTTTCTATTTGTTCATGGTTTACTGTTCTATGTTGATCCCCTCTCCCTTATTTTCTGTGATCATATGATCATTACCTACTCTTCCCTCCTAGCCTTTCCCTTTTACACTCTACCCCGCTGGTGTCAGCCCAACTTGGCAGACCCAGCATAATGAAGAGACAATGCCGGTAATGTTTTCTGTATTACTCTTCTTTGCAAACATTACTAGATGGAGCTGTGGAGCATGGAAAATAATTATTTATTTCCAGCATCTTCCTTCCTCAGCCATTGGGTGGCAGGTGTGATGACCTCCCACGCATGCCTGATGAAGTTGCCTTATCTCAGCATTCTGCTCCATTCGTAGCATCTCACCGATGCCAGCAGTGTACACTTGACTGCAC